GCGCTCCGCTGCAGGTGGCCCAGTGTTTCGTTGGTTCGAATCCTGGGCGCGGACATGGCACCACTCATCAAACCACGCTGAGGCAGCGTCCCACATGCCACAACTAGAAGGACCCACAATGAAGAATATACAACTATGTACCAGGGAGCTTTGGGAAGAAAAAGGAAAAAATAAAATCTTAAAAAAAAAAAAAAGAGACCCCTGAAGAGCTCCTTCACCGCGTTCACAACACTGCAAGAAGATGGCCATCTATGAACCATAAAGCAGGCTCTCACCAGACACTGAGTCTGCCAGCGCCTTGATCTTGGACTTTTAGCCTCCAGAACTGGGAGAAATAAATTTTTATTAGCCACCCAGTCTATGGCATTTTTCTTATAGAAGCCTGAACAGACTAAGACAAGGTCATAAAAGAAATGGAAAATGCCTTCATGATTTATTTATAATTCAAAATGTCTGTTTTATGCATTCTACCACTGTATATTCAAGTACAAGGAAAACACTTTTAAATTGTTTTCCTCATTAATAATTGGTTCACCCAAAGCTTTTTGTCTAATGTGTCTAATGTGATGGTCTTTAAATTTAATTTCCATTTCTAAGCCTGTGGATATACGCTTTGCAATGTTGCACCAGTTTTCAAAACTAGAGATTCTAAACTCTTCAAAGAATTCTAATAACCCTCTGATGTGTTTTACTGCAATATCCATGGGTACACTTTTATTTTGTAATAATTTACTGGCAAAGTTTACTGCCTGAGCACCAGCAGTTCCTGTCTCAGTGCTCAGGCCAGAGTTACTATTTGTGCAGATGCTGCAGGGACAGGCTCTGGTGACACAAGGGCAAGATTGCCTGTCACCACGGGTCCCATCACTGTCCCCATACAGAGGCCATCCTTTCTTTCAGGGCTATCGCCACCGACACTACCACTGCTCCTTACCACTATTGTCAGTGGCCCAACGTCCCCCCCTGGGCCCCATGGTGGCCTGGACTGCCCAAGATGTACTTGTGCATGCCAGGCGGCCTGACCAACTGCTCAGCATGCACACCACCTGCCGTGCCCACAGGCTGTGTGCACTGCCACCCAGTGCATCTCTTCTGCTCATGTGTGTGCTCCATTGTCACACTGGACTACATTTACAAGACACAGGTACAAAGATAAAATTATAAGAATTTCAAGACAGCAACAGCAGAGCATTAAACCAAGCCTGCAGCCCCTTCTGGGAGCAGAGCTCTGCACAGGTGGCATACCCCCTAAAGCTGGCCCTAGAGGAGTGGGTTGGTGTTCTCAGCTACTTAGTCTGGCACCTGGGGGACTATAGTGTTAGTTTTTATTCCAAGTTAGTGTAAATCAAGTTTTGCTTCTGTGATTCAAATTATGCAAAGAACTGTTGATCGCCTTCTCCCATTGCATGGATGTCAGTCTCCAGTTGCTGTTAAATCCACAGCAGTGGTATAATGGAGTCGTGAAGAGCCTGGACTCTGGACCTATATTGCCAGGAACCTCAGCTTGTATACATACTAGCTATGTGACCTTGAGCAAGTGATTTAAAGCCTCTATACTCAGCTTCCTCATCCATAAAATGAGGATAGCAGTAGTACTACCTCTTAGGGTTGCTGTAAGGATTAAGTGTGTTAATGCACATAAAGAGTTTAGAACAGTTCTTAGCACACAGTAAATTTTCAGATAATGTTGTCATTATTTTGTCTTTTGTTTTCACTGTCCTTGTACTTTCAAGTCTGTTTTGGAGCAAGCCTGTTCTTCCCCATGAAATTTTTCTTCATTCCCCTGCCCCCACGTATTTTTAAGATTTTATTTTTTCCTTTTTCTCCCCAAAGGCCCCCGGTACATAGTTGTGTATTTTTAGTTGTGGGTCCTTCTAGTTGTGGCATGTGGGATGCTGCCCCAGCGTGGCCCGATGAGTAGTGCCATGTCCGCACCCAGAATTTGAACAGGCGAAACCCTGGGCCGCCGAAGCGCAGTGCACGAACTCAACCACTTGGCCACGGGGCCGGCCCCTCCCCCTCTTTTTATTCATTATTTATCTATCTACCTTTATTGAGGTAACATTGGTTTATAAAATATAGGTTTCAGGTGTACATCACCATATTTTGACTTCTGTATAGACTACATCATGTTCACCACCAACAGTCTAGTTTCCATCTGTCACTGTACACGTATGCCCCTTTGCCCCTTTCGCCCTCTCCCCACCTCTTTCTCCTCTGGTAACCACCAATCTGTTCTCTGTATCTGTGTTTGTTTGTTGTTGTTGTTTATCTTCCACATATGAGTGAAATCATATGGTATTTGTCTTTCTCCGTCTGACTTATTTCACTTTGCATAATATCCTCAAGGTCCATCCATGCTGTTGCATATAGCAAGATTTCACCTTTTTTATGGCTGAATAGTATTCCGTTGTATATATACACCCCACATCTTCTTTATCCATTCATCTATTCATGGGCACTTAGATTGCTTCCAAGTCTTGGCTATTGTGAATAATGCTGCAATGAACATAAGGGTGCACATAACTTTTCAAATTAGTGTTTTCATATTCTTTGGATAAATACCCAGAAGTGGAATAGCTGGATCATATAGTAGTTCTATTTTTAATTCTTGGGGAATTTCCATACTGTTTTCCACAGTGGCTGCACCAATTCACATTCCCACCAGCAATGTATGAGAATTCTGTTTTCTCCACATCCTCACCAAAACTTATTTCTTGTCTTTTTAATAATAGCCATTCTGATGGGTGTGAGGTGATAGCTCATTGTGATTTTGATTTGCATTTCTCTAGTGATGTTCCACATCTTTTCATGTGCCTGTTGGCCATCTGTATATCTTCTTATATTTTTTCCATTTTCCTCATCTATTTTATAGCTTACTTTAGCCCTCATCATTTTTCATCTCAACACTTAGATGTACATATATGCAGAAAGATGAATTGGAAAAGAGCTTGCTGAGGTTCCCTCTATGGAAATAAAAGCAGGGATTGAGCGGTGGTCAGGAAGATCTTCACCCTGTTTGAATGTTTACAATGGGAATGTATATACTATTGCCTGTGAAATTAAAAATAAATGTTTACAATTGTCAAGTGGAGGTGGGGTAGAGGAGGAAGGTTTCCAGGGACACCTTGTATTATGGCACCCAGTTCGGATTGTGCACTGACGCTATGAGAGACACAACTGGAACACACATTTCCAGGGCAGCAACCAGCTGCCTCCCATCCATGGCAGTGCAAACAGTTCCTTTGCTAGCAAATCTCACTGTCTCAGATTCAGCCCCCTGACAGCTTTGCCTTCCCCATTATCCTTTAGCACCCCCACCTCACCTCCTAAGAACACTGGGGAGGAACTTTTAGGGGTGAGTACCACTGTACCTGGGTCAAATGCCATCTCCTATGAAGATTTTTCCGACACACTCACTGAACATATTTGAGTTAATTGTGGCTCTCTGTTCCCACACATGTTGCTCATACCTCTAGACAGACTTAGGGTTTGACCTTTTTCAGCCTTGTTATTCATTGAACCTTACCTCCTTCATTGGATTGTATACTTCTTAAGGGTATATACAGGGTCTCTTACTCATGTCTGGAGACCCCCACCCCAAGCTGTACCCAGCCCAGTCCATCATAAATGTTATTGGAGAGGGTGCCCTGAACTGCCCCCCCCCCCCCCCCCCCCGCCATGACACTAGGGATTTTGCACTTTTTATTCCTTCTGCTCTGTCCCTGGCCAGTTCTTCTTATTCAGCTCTCAGCTCACACATCACCTTCTCCAAGAGGCCTTCCTTGACTACCCTATCTAAAATAGACTACCTTCCATCTTCCAAATCGTCATGCCATAACTTGTTCTATTTTCTTCATAGCACTCACTGCAATCTGAAATCTTCTTACTTGACTCACTTTATTGTCTGTCTCCTTCACTGGAATGTGAATCACAGGAGGGCAGGGAGTTTTTCTGAATCCCCAGTGCCTACAACAGTGCCTGGTATATAGGAAGTGCTCAATTAATATATGAATGAAATTGTACTCATTTTATTATTGACTGATCCCCCAGTAGAATGTCAGCACAAGGAAGACCAGGAACTTATCTGGGTTACCACTACATCCTCAGCATCTAGCACAGTTGTTACCAAACCAGGTTTGTTTCTGCCTATTGCCCAGAAAGCCAATCACTGAGACAGTGAGATTGCAGCAGAGAGAGGATTTAATCACAAGGCAGGCAAGTGAGGAAGGGGGAGGAATTTCAAATCCACCTCCCCGAAAATGGAGACTCAGCGATATTTATGGGGTAGGCGGCAAGATGGTCTGAAGTGTGGGAATAGATGATTGGAGGTAAGGAAAAGTGAGGTAACTGATGATCTGTGCAAGCGTAGTCAAGCTTCATGCCTCTTCATAGGAAGCATGTTCACAAAATGGCAGCATTACCATGATCTGAGGGTGGAGTTTTTAGCTCCTTGACATCAAAAAGGTCACTAGACACAGGCCTAGTCAATGGGTTGGTGGTCTCAACTGGCCTGAACTGGGCAAGGGTTCTCAGTTCCTGAAAACCCACTCTTAATTACTCTGTTGATAAGATGGGGTCAGGTGAACTGGTTCTGGAGGGCCCACCATTACACAGTGCCTGGTGCATAGTAGATGCTCAATAAAGAATTGCTGGGTGAGTGAATTAATGTTCCACATACACCTTAACTCAACATACTCCAAACTGAACTTAGTCTCTTCTTCCCCACCAAAACTGCTTTTCCTTTGTGTACCCCGGCTCTGTCAATGGCACCATCATCCACTCTGACATGCAACCCAGAAATGAACTCACACTCCTTTCACTCACAGACTCACTATTTTCAATTAGTCCCCAAGCTCTGCCTATTCAACTTCCAAAATACCCCACTTTATCTGGTCCTTTTCTACCCCTGCTGCAATTATCCTGATTCAGGCCTCATCCTTTTTTTCCGTGACTAATGCAACAAGCCTCCTCCCTCCTGCCACCTTCTCCCTCTACTTTTTATTATGGAACTCTTCATGAATTTGCATATCATCCTTGTGCAGGGGCCATGCTAATCTTCTCTGTCTTTCCAATTTTAATATATGTGCTGCTGAAGCCAACACCCTCCTGCCTCCTTGTGAAGCTAAAAAAGCTTACTGGATATTGCAGTCCAATTGTTTATTTTCAAGCTTGTTTCCCACATGGCTGTCAATTTCCCACTGCAGTCTCTCTTTTCATCACTGTATCCCCAGGTCCTAACCCACCATCACTTTGGCAACTAGTGTGCACACACACATTTTCTTCTTCAAAGCGGTGGGACCCTTTGAAACAATGCAATAGTAAGAGGATTCCTAGACAATATTCCAGAATGTCTGAGAAAACCAGCGCCATCTTGAAGCATGTGTGTGGAGTTCCATTCACTCACTCTCTTCTCCCACCCCACCCTCAGGCTGTCGTCAGAAAATCATGGGATATGTGCATGGAGATCCTTTAACTGTATCTGAACTGAACCAGTGCGGGTCAAGGAAGAGACAGTTCAGAGGGAGCTGGGAAGTTGACATAAGCTTTACGGAGGAACTAGGAGCAAAGGACCGAGTACAGAATGCGGGGGTAGTTGAGGGTGCAAAGTTCAACTTCCTGGCTCTGAAACTCAAGCCACTTGGCTTCCCTAAGCCCGTGCCCCGACTTGGGGATAGTAACAGAGCTTTCCTTATAGGGTGAAGAATAAACGACTCGAAGACCGCGTGAGCGCGCTTAAGGGGCTCAATAAACGGGAGCCACCGTGAGCACTCCGCCTCTACTCTGGCCCAAGCCTGTCCCAGCCGCCACCTATTAATTTTGCAGTTTGCAGTCACAGAGTTCACCTCTTCTCATAGGAGAAGGCTGGGGAGGAGCAGTGTGTTTGTGGTGGCGGAGGGGGGTGCTTCATTCCCTGCTTACCCGCAGGAATAGGAAGCCTGGCAAAGGTCTGGCCACACTCAAAATGGAGCCAGGCGACTGCCTCGCTTAACATGGCGGCTTCCCCGCCTCTCACTTCAAAGTCCTCGGCATCGATTGGGTACCTAGGAGAGACGAGCGGGTCCAAAAGCAGCCGATCCCCGCCTCCCGTTTCTCAAGGTGGCGCTCCGCCCCTGATGGCGTCACGCGGGAGCTGGCGGCTCTCGCTTCCCCGCCTTTGCCGCGGTTCCCTCGTGCGCCCGGCCCTCATAAGATGGCGGTCGGGTCGCCTCTCCGCAGCGACGCCGCCACTCTCAATATGGTAGCTGTTTACCCCATATTTCTCCTCCCCTCTCCGCCTCAACTTCCTCGTTGTTTTGAATAAACTTTATTGACTACTCCGAATTGCCCACCACCGCCACCGGGCTTCTCCCGGCGACTTTCCGGGCCGTTTTTCTCCGCCCTGGCTTGCCGGTTCATCTCATTCCTTGTTGGTTTGCTCGCGGCGATCTCCTGCCGGCCTAGCGACAACGCCGCTCGCCCGGTCGCCGGGCGGCCGCCGGAGTAGGCCTGAGCCGCGGTCTCCAGTAGGCCCGAACGGCCGGGCCCGGGACAGAGCTGTGGAGAAAGCTGGCCTGAAGCACCACCGGGCGGCCCGGGCCGCGCGCCCCAGCGGGCGGTACGAGGGGAAGGCGAGCAAGGTTCGCAGCGTTGCCGTGACGATCCCAGAATTCGGCGCGCGCCGCCGGTGGGGCCGGAACTGCTGGCCCAGCCTCCGCTGAGCGAGGCGCCGAGCGGCCCCGGAGCCAGCCCGGCCCCGGCGCGTCGGTGGGACTGAGCTCCGCGGGCGTGAGGAATCCCCGCGGCTTTGCGGATGAGGAGGTCCCTGTAGGGGTCGAGACCGAAGGCATTCTTGTCAGGTTTGGGGTGTGAGGAGGTTCCTGTCAGTTTGGGAGGCGTGAAGAGATTCTCGTAAGTTTCGGGGGCTGCAAGGATATTCTGTCAGTTTTGGGATCTACAATGAGATCCCTGTCAGTTCTGGGGGACAAGGGAGCTCTCGTCATTTTGAGGGAGCTGTGAGGAGATTCCTGCCAGTTTGCGAGCGGTGGAAAGAAAAAATCTTTGCTTAGTTGCAGGAGTGTGGGGAAATTCTAATCAGTTGCAGGGATCTTGAAAAGATCCTTTTTAGGTTCAGGGGTGCAGCGAGAACCCTGTCGTCTTTGAAGTAGAAGAGGATCTGATCAGTTTTGAGATGGAAATTTATTTCAGTTGTTAGAGTGATGAGACTCCCGACTGGTCGGGGATGGAATGATTTTGAGAGTGAAGGAGATCATTTAAACTCTCAGACCGAAACCCCAGAACTGTGATTTGAGTTGGGCAACTAGTCTTGTCTGCCTTGTTCCTGAAGGCATCGAGGTAATTTTCGAGTAATCTGAGCCGACTTCCAGGGATCCCTTATCTCTCTCTAGGTGCCCCTATTTTGGGGGTGAGAGAAGGGGCTTTTTCTGAGGTACCCCCAGCCTCATTCTTTAGGCTATGATTTACGTCATAATAGAGAGCCCTGGGAAGCAAGGTTGCGGGCAAGGAGAGGGTGCAGTGAGGGATTAAAGAAGCTTCCTAAAAAGGCGTCAGATATTTCCCTGAAACCCGGAAAGAAGTTATCACTGACTCTGGGGGCCGAAGGAGGTAGGGATTAAAAAAAGCCTCGACGGCAGAGTGCCGTTATTTATTTGTTAAAGAAATTCTGGAGGCCAGTGGACTTTCTCCGATTGCCCCCTACAGCCGCACCAGCTGTGTTGCATCCCAGCAGCAGTAACTGCCCATTTGTGAACTGAGGGTTGGTACCCTGGGGGACCTGATTCACTCTTTAAAAAGTGTTGTTTGTGCTCAGCCATCGTCCAGAAAGGACGCGTGCTGCCACCTCCTGCTCTTCTTGACGTTAAGAACCCGGCCCGCCGCAGAACGCTCCAAGGCCCGGCGAAGATGGCCTCGGTGCCGGTGTATTGCCTCTGCCGCCTGCCTTACGATGTGACCCGCTTCATGATCGAGTGTGACATGTGCCAGGACTGGTTTCACGGCAGGTAAGAAGGGCAGGCCAGGCTGGACAGGGTGCAGTGGCCAGGTGCTCACTTGTGCGCTGCTTTCTCAGCTCTGTTTTTAGGTTCTCGCTCAGAAACTTTTTTCCCCTCTCTTGTAGAGAATTAGCCCCAGCCCACCTCCCAGACCCAGGTTCTTACGTCCTTCCTTGCAGACTAGGGCTTAACTGACATTGTTCTCGGATTTCTCCCTTTCTTCCATATGTATTTTTTCTTTGCACCCTTCTTTTGTATTTTTTGTTTAGAAAATATTTTCTTTTCAGCCACAAAGAAAGTATCATCTTTGTATTCTGGCAGTGTTGTTTTGCCTCAGACACTGGCTTTGGAGGAGACAGTACTGCGTTTTTGAGATATTTGAGTCCAACAAAGGAAGATTTGAGTTGTGGTTTTGCAACTTGCTATCAGAGTAACCTTGGATGAGTTACTTTGCCTCTCTGAGCCTCATTGTCTTCACCTATAAAATATATCTAATACACCCTTCCTGATTATTTAAAGCATTTTGCGTGCACTCAATAAATGGAGGCAGCAATGCAATAGTATTTTATTTCTACAGTATTTATCTGCAGAACCATCCAACTAAATTGAATCAAGCAGAAGAGAATAAAGCAGCAGGAATAAAACCACTAATAAATCCCCTCCAGTTAACTATGTGTGCACATAAGCACCTGTCACCCTGGATTCCAGAGAGGTTAGTGTGTGGAATAAAACTGTAATATTATCCCATTACTGAGACCTAAATCCCAGCTATGGAAAGAAAACCATGAGAGGGATTTGTGCCGTGGAGTACAGTAGGCCCCCCTTATCCACGAGGGATATGCTCCAAGACCCCCAGTAGATGCCTGAAACTGCAGATGGCAACAAACCCTACGTATACTGTGTTTCTTCCTTTACATACATACCTATGATAAAGTTTAATTTATAAATTAGGCATGGTAAGAGATTAACAGCGATAACTAATAATAAAATAGAACAATTTAACAATAAAGTTGTGGTAGATCTTAGCAACCTCAGCGTGGGATTTTTTTTGCTTCCCTTATTAAGTCGAGAACTTTCACCTTTTCACTTAAAGGAATCACTTCACAGCTTCTCTTTGGCACATCCAAGTTGCCAGCATCACTACTCTGCACTTTGGGGCCATTAAATAGAATAAGGGTTACTTGAACAGAAGCACTGCAATACCTCGATAATCAATTTAATAACCGACATGGCTACTAAGAGACTAATGGGTGGGTAGTGTATACAAGGTGGGTAAGCTGGACAAAAGGATAATTTGCACCCAGGTGGGACAGAGCAGGATGGCGTGAGATTTCATCATGCTATTCAGATCGGCATGCAATTTAAAACCTATGAATTATTTCTGGAATTTTCCATTTAATATGTTCAGACTGCAGTTGACTGTGGATAAGGGGGGACTACTGTACAACAAAGCCGTATGTGGCTACCTCCTCCTGTTGAATGTTGTTAGTTTCTAGAATTTTCATTTGTCACTAGTCCCTTCCAAAGGAATTATTCCTATTATCATACCCAAGACCAAACTGACGGTGCTGGTGCTGCTAAAGTTCTGCCCTCAGCAGGGACTGTCCCATACAGCACATCCAAATTCATACTCAACTGATCTTCATTGAGTATTTACTGTTTGCCAGGTGTAGAGTTCTGTTTAGTGCCTCATATGATTTCATTTAAGAGGGGAGAGGCTTAGAGGATGGAGCCTCTTCCTTTCCCCTGGAAATAAGTGGGGATTAAGATATCTTTCAGGATTCCTGGTATCTTTGCTAGTGCTGATCAAGTCACTCCTGTGCTTAAAATTCTTTGGGTGGTTCCCCTACAGAAAAAAACTCCGTCTCTTTGTGTGACAAACAAGACCTTTTGTGATCTACTTGATCAGTCTCATTTCCCACATTCCTCCTCCCTTGTTCTTTATGTCCAACAAGACTGAACTACTTATAGTTCTGGGAAATTTTTACACTCCTTTATGCCACTTTGTCTTTGCACATGCTATTCCTACTAATGTCCTCCCTTTTACGATTCACAGCATACCTCCTCTGTAAAAGGCATCCTTCCTTTGGGTTCCCATTGTACTTTGTGTACAT